ACATAATCAAAGACTGCAGAGTCCATTACATGTGTATTCGTAATCTCGAAATCTCAAACCTTTACTCACATTAAAGGTCAAACTTGTTAACACTGCATTTGGATTTAAAGTGAAAGGGAATTTATGTGGATGTTTTTTTTTAGCTTCAATAGGAAAACTGGACAAAACAAATAAAAGAAATAAATATTCAACTAGACCTCAACAAAGATGGCATTAATAAAAGCATTTTTATGTGTCAGAATGGCACAACCAAAACCCAGATGTAAACCCAACAGGAAAGACAATAATCTAATGCTCAAAGGTTCTCTTCATGTAATCTGACTGAGCAAAAACAACAATGTAAGCCCCAACGGTGTAACGACACAACAATAGGCCCATAAGCAACATTATCTAGATGGGCCCCATATGAAGTACAACACCACTGCTGCTGCTGTAGAAAACCGACCCGAAATGTTTCCCATACATACACACTTCATCATTCTTCACCTTCACTAGACATGGATATACTTTAGTATATTCTGCTGTAAAATGAGTCTTATTGGGCTACCTGGAGTTTCACAGCTCCCCTCCTCACCCATGCTCTCTCTATTCATCTCCTGAAATCTTTGCTCACTGTAGCAGCAACATCTACCTGCTCCCTCTTCGGTTCTTTGAAAGAATGTGTTAATTTTGGGAATTTTTTTTCAGTTCTTCCAGCAGCTTTTATTTGCTTTTTCTTTCTGGAAGTACCTCATTTTGGTATCCATTGTAGCTAACACATTGTACATAACGGTTATGGTTTTAATCTACGCTCTGGATTACCCATAATTCCAAATCGTATTGAAAAAATAAAATACTCAAAAAACATAGTTATTGCGGTTTGAAACATATGAGTGTATTTTTACCAACCGTCTAATGAACTATACACAGTTATTAAGATAGTAATTAAAATACCACTGTCTGCTTTGCTATTGGTGCCGTGTTTAAACGTCTCACCATCCTGTTGAAATATGTCATGTGTTGGGGTATAAATAAGGTCCAGTCAGTCAATCTAGTATCAGGGTACAGGGTTTGCTAGAGGAGGTGTGGAAGGAGGAAGGATTGCATGTGGATGGTCGTTTGGTGCATGGCGCGTGTTTTGAAGCTGCTTATGGAGAAATGTCTTGGGCCGTGAGTAGTGAGGAAACAGGAAGCGATTCTTGTGGGATGGAAGAGGGAAATAGTGACAATGAAGGTTGGAAGATAGCAACATCAAAAAATGAGAAAAAGCGGAAAAAACAGGTGATGAATTGACGTTTGATTGGTCTAATAGCCAGATTTATTTGGATAATTGTTCAT